CTTCTGCCGACTCTGAGTGGTCTGCATTCTCTGCTTGATCTGCTGAATAAGCTCTATGGTCTGAAGGACTACTTCGGTCCTTCCCATAACCCTGTGACCAACCTCCCCCCAACAAACCGGGGTATGACATCTTCGACCGTATAAGAGCTCAAAAGGCGGAGCACCAATGCTGGAGTGATAACTGTTATTGTAGGAGAACTCCACAAGAGGTAGGTAGGAATCCCTACTCCCACCAAAATAAATAATATTGGCGCGTAACATATCCTCAAGGGTTTGTATCGTCCGCTCACTCTAGCCGTCGATCTGTGGATGATAAACAGTGCTGAAGTGCAACCTCGTGCCCAACTCCTCGTGGAACTTCTGCCAGAAACGGGAAGTGAACCGAACATCCCGATCCAAAACAATGGAGACTGGAACCCCATGACGAGCAACAATATCTCGGACATAAACATTAGCCAATTTTTCAGACGAAGAGCTCTCCCGGATGGCCAAAAAGCGGGCACTCTTGGTCAATCGATCCACGATGACCCATATAACATCATAACCCTTTGCCTTCTTCGGCAATTTAGTGATAAAATCCATGGTGATCTACTCCCATTTCCACATGGGAACCTCCAGAGGCTGCAGATTGCCATGTGGCCTCTGATGCTCAGCCTTGACCATCCTGCAAGTCAACCATCTCTCAACATACTAGGCTATCTCCCTCTTCATACACGACCACTAGTAGCTCAATCTCAATTCCCGATACATCTTGGTGGCTCCCGCGTGTATAGAAAAGCGAGACTTATGAGCCTCCTCTAACACAATCTGCCTGACCCCACCAAAAACTGGAACCCAGACCTGACCACACCGGGTCAATAACCCTCGACTATCCGTGACAAATCAGTCAATCTCACCCTTGATCCTTTCCTACTTCCAATTCTCCTTCCAAACTTCCTCAACCTGAGCCTCCCTGATCAAACCCAAAAGCAGAGAATCAACTGATATCCTAATACACATCTCCCCGACCGAAGATCTAGTTGACTTGCGGCTCAAAGCATCCGCCACCACATTCGCTTTAACCAGATAGTAAAGGATCTCGCAGTCATAATCCTTGACCACGTCCAGCCAGTTGTGCTACCTCATGTTCAAGTTCAGCCGGTCCATCAGATATCTCCAACTCTTGTGATCCGTGTAGACAGTGCAAAAGACCCCATATAGATAGTGTCTCCAAATCTTGAGGGCGAACACCACTCCCCCCTACTCCAGATCATGTGTGGGATATCGTGACTTATGCGGCTTCAGCTGCTGCGAAGCATAAGCAATCACCTATCCTCTCTTCATGAGAACCGCCCCTAAACTGGTGATGGATGCATCACAGAATACCATAAAATCCTCGACTCCCTTCGGGAGGGTCAATATCGGGGCCTCACATAACCTCAACTGAAGAGTCTCAAATGTCGACTGCTGCTCAGGGCCCCATCGGAAATCCACCCCCTCCCTCGTCAGACGAGTGAGGGGTACTGCTATCTTGGAGAAGTACTAAATAAATCTTCGATAGTACCCTGCCAAACCCAAGAAACTCCTGATATCTGAGGGAGATTTTGGAACCTCCCACTGCATCACAACCTCGATCTTGGCCGGATCGACCAAAATCCCATCCTGGTTAACGAGGTGCCTAAGGAATTGGACCTCTCGTAACCAAAACTCGCACTTCGAGAACTTGGCATAAAGCCATTCTCGCCTCAAAACCCCCAAAAGCTCTCGAAGATGCTCCTCATGCTTCTCTCTGGTCTTGGAATACACCAAGATATCATCAAGAAACACAATGACGGATCGGTCGAGCATCAGCCTGCATACCCTATTCATCAAATCCATAAACACCGCAGGCGCATTGGTGAGCCCAAATGGCATCACCACGAACTCGTAATGCCCATAACGAGTCCAAAACGAGGTCTTCTCCACGTCCTCCTCTCTCACTCTCACCTGATGATACCCCAACCTCAGATCAATCTTAGAGAACCAAGATGCACCCTGCAACTGATCAAAGAGGTCATCAATCTGCGGAAGGGGATAACAGTTCTTCACCGTTAACTTGTTCAACTACCGGTAATCAATGCACATCCGATGTGAACCATCCTTCTTCTTGATGAATAGAATCGACGCTCCCCATGGAGAACTACTTGGTCTGATGAACTGCTTGCTTAACAGCTCCTGCAGCTGAGATGACAACTCCTGCATCTCAGGCGGTGCCAAGCGGTACAATGCCTTGGAAATCGGGGCCACACCTGGCACAAGGTCAATCCTAAACATGACGTGCCTCTCGGGAGACACGCCGGGTGACTCCTCCGGAAATAAATCAGCAAACTCTCTGACAACTGGAACATCTAAAATTGAAATCTGATCTACAACTCAAGTTTCAACCACATAGGCCAAATAACCTGCACACTCGTGCTGAATATACTGACGAGCCCTGGCTGCCGAACAAAACCCTGAACCAGTTCTCCCCCACTTGGGGTTCGAACTACCACTTGCTGGCCCTCACAATCACTCATGGCACCAAACCTACTCAGCCAATCCATACCCACTATCACGCATACATCCCCCATTGGAATAGGGATCAGATCAATCGGATAAGGCACCCGAAGATCTCTAGCACACAACCCTGATATATCGCAGATGTAGAAATCCCGTGTTCGTTGGCGATAGAAACCCACAACGGACATTATAACTCCCTAATAGGCATATCAAACTCCCTACTTAATGATCGAGACACAAAAGACCTACTGGCACCCGAGTCAAACAACACAAGAGCAAGAAAAGAGTTCAGTAGGAACGTACCTGTCAGGGGAATAATATAAGTTTAACATAAAACATAATCAACAAATGTAACACCCATCAAATTCAAGCCAATTTAAAACTTTTTAAACAATTCAAAACCCATTAGTTATTACAAAATGTTTTCAAAATAGTTTAATATCAGAGTATCCCAGAAACCATAAATCCAAAACACGAGGATGTGTACGGTCACGCCTTCGCCTTGCCAAGTCATCTGAATCACCTAAAACAACAAACTGAAACCGTAAGCACGAAGCTTAGTGAGTTACCCCCCAAAATACCGATACACATACAGTCCACATAACCATGTCAGCAATATCATAACATAACAAACTGAACAGCATGCAATGGGTCCACAGATTTACAGACTGGATTACCCCTGGGCCCACAGTGTGAGTCTGGATTGCCTACTGGGCCCACAACTCACATCTGGATTGCCACCGAGCCCACAGTACGAGTTTAGATTGCCTACCGGGCCCACAGCTCGTATCTGGAATGCTCGTAGGGTATGTTGGCTACCGCACGGAGCAGTACAACCTCAACCCATCCCACATAACATGCCGACATGTAACAGATAAATGCACATACCAATAACCAATAATATCACAGGTAGTCCTACAAGCCTACCAACTAGCATATCCAACTAGCATGCATATCTAACACATACTTATCATAACAACTACTAGGATATCAATCCAATGGGCCGGCCTTGGTATCTTAGACCCCTTAGTATAGTGAGGATAACTCACCTGGCACTGCTGAAGTCCCGCAGATAAAACTCCAGCTGCTGGTTGACAGATCCCCGAATTGTCAACATCAAATAATACCCAATTAATAATTGGGTTCCAAGCCCAAGGTCCAACTCACACTACAAAAGCCTAAAAGTCAAATCATGGGCCAAAGCCCAACATATGGCCCAATTTTCCAAATTAGGCCCAGACCTCTACATGGTCTTTCCTTAAGGCCCATCCAATTATTCCATTCCAATTCCCATGGCCCAATATCACATAATCAGAAAGGCCCAATTATGGCCCATCTTTGGCCCAATTTTCCAAATTGGGCCCAAGTCTCTCACATGGGCCTTATCCCAAAGGCCATCTAATTATTTTGGTCTATTAACTTGTTTCTGGATAGCCCATCAATTGTCCAATCGCCAAAGCCCAATAGGAAACCCAACACAAGGCCCAAGTGAAATTAGGGTTTTCACATGAAATGACAATTAGGGCTAAGTGGTCCTACTTAACCCATTAAGGACTTAATCCATTAAGTCCATTACTGCTTTAGGTAAATTTGCCAATGATTATTAATTATTATTTAGGTTTAATAATTAATTCCAACGTGGGTCCCGATCAATCCCCAAAATTAGGGTTTCATGACATTAGGGTTTTCCAAACCCTAATTAGGGTTTCTAACCCAATACTAGCCTATTAGTCGATTAGTTGGGCTTTTAGGTCACTTTGGGCTTCATTGGGCCCATTGGGGTTCTATTGGGCCCACTAGGGTTTCATTGCGCTGATTCTGTCCAATCATCCTAAACGAGGTGCAAACATAATCAAAGCACAGCGCCACCCGACACGGCGGCCGGTGGCAACAGGAGGCGGCAGCCACCACCTCACGGTGGTGGTTACAAGTTTCTATTGATTACCGACACTATTACAATTTTACAAAGATACACAAGCACACACACTCACGTAACATAACACACACACACACACACCGCCACACTGTGGCGGCAGGTGGTGGTAGATGGTGGCAGCCACCATGGCTGGCGGCCATGGTGGTCCCTTTTTCATTTCCGGCCAACAAAACACGCACACATACACATTAACACGTCTTCTGTTGTGAAATAAACCCAGCCACCCACCTCGTGGCTATGGTAACACAAGAAGTCCGACAGTAGTGGCGGTCGACGGCAACAACTCCGTTATCGGCAGCAACCAACATGGCCGACCGCCATGGTGGTGTTTCGTGACTCCTCTTCGACATAAATCACATGCACTCGCGACATCATCACGAACCACGAACCACAGTGGTGGCTGACGGCGGCAAATGGCGTTGGCAACAGCTTCATGGTGGAACAGTCGCATGGCGGCGTCCACAAAGACGAAACCCATCATCAGCAGCTCGACCGGTCCTCCCACGATCGCAACGTTGGTCCCTGCAGTTTTCCCTGGTTACATACGATGTTCGACGACGGGCTAGAAGAAGCTAAGGCGGCTGAGAAGAAAGAGAAGGGGAAGGGCGGCGGTTTCTGGTGGTCGCTGTCGTCGGCGGTTGACGATGGCGTTCCAGCTTCGCCACGGTGGCAACACCGATGGTTGGTGCTCGAACTCGTCAAGGTGGCACCAGCCGGCGATGGGGATACAAGGTCGGCAACGGAGATTGTCCATCGTGAGGGTGACGGCCGGGAAAGGGGATGTATAAGGGTGACGGCCGATACTGTGTCTAGGGATAGGGTTGTTGACGGGCAATCAAACAGTAAATACCCGGCTCCATGAAAACATATAGAGAAAATGGCAGAACTGGTCCCTCCCATTTCAATCTCTTCAAAAAAACTCCAATAATTACCATTTAAACCCTGGCTACTGAAAATCCTTTCAACTTTGATCCGATATTTTACCAAATGGCCCCTCCATGACAATTTCTTTTCAGCTTAGGTCCAGAACTTACACTTTAGTCCCTGCTTTCATAAATACTTACATATTAAATCTAATTAATACCAAACACCCCTTTCCTTATTAAAATCTTTACAAATTGAGTCCCAAAGTTACAATTTAACCCTTGGAGATTCAAATCTTGTCATCTGGTTTCCCGAGACCAACTCCCAGCTAATTGTTATTTGATTTTGGGCTATAATAATATAAAATAATAATAATTATTATTTCTCGAGGCCCGGATTTATTATTTTAATTACCCTATTTTAAATGGGATGTTACAACTCTCCCCGACTTAATTTTGATTTCATCCTCGAAATCGTTTCTTTTCATCCCTTACAAACCAGTCAACTTGAACAACACGACCACAACTTACGAGCATAACCCCAGCCTTTCCAAGGCAACCGTAACCAACCCTCGCAGGGTTCTAAAACTTGAAAATAAACGAATCCCTTGCAATATAATCACATTTACTCAATCCGAATCTGTAGTCTCGAGATGGTCCGTCTCCTTGACAGACCGCCCACTCTGAATCATTGTCAATTTCTTTGCACTTAACTCCTAACTGGCTACTCAACTTCTGATAACCTGAGGTTCTCACCAGAAAGCATAACCACAAATCACACACTGCTACCTATAACTCTTTTCTTGACAAGAGATTAGGTACTCCTTCAAGAGAAATCGGTTTTGATAACCGATTCCCTGGGATATAATGAACAACGAGATGTAAACTGGGAGATAAACCCTTACAGGTTTGTTAATACAATGCTTCCTTTATCCTTAGGACCAACATACATATAATGACCGGCTCATAAGCACAAACACTCATACCTGGCCCAATCAGCCTCGGGCTGGAATACCAGGCATGCCCACGACGGGTCCAGTCATCCTCAGGATGGAATGCCCTCGTATCATGCACATGTTTGGCCCAATCAACCCTCGGGTTGGCATACCAAACACGTCAGGTCCAATCAATCATTGGGTCCGGTCATCCTCGAGATGGAATACCCTATATCAGTATACCACTATATACGAAACTCGGGTCTAAACTCATAACTTGAAGTTCAAGGACCTGCCCTTGTATTTCTCACAAATTCTTCTGATTCCTCCTGGCCGATTACGGCTCGCCCAAATCTCAACAATATGTCCATTCCGAAAGCGCTCAAAAATAGAAGAAATAGACTACTAAGATCACTAGGCCCACAACCTATGACTGGAATACCCCTACAAGGTGCTCATCATAGGTTTGGATTGCCTCTGAGCCCACAACATGAGTCTGGCATGCCCTAACTGGCCCTCAACTCATGACTGGAATGCTCCTGATAAACTATCAAGCTTGTGCAAAAGAAATACCTAACCAACGACCTTCACAACACCAACCAGCGCCACGATGCTGAAACCCCACCATGTACGATTCACTTATAGAGTAAGTTGTTATCCAAGCAAAATACTACAAACCTTGGTCGCACATGACCCTAAAATAGAATGATAGTCGAACTCTTGATCCAATTTCTTGCAGACTATAACCCAGACCTGATCAAGCACGTAAGCCGAACCAACCCTATTGCCACCTTGAATACCCACAAATACACACGAGAATCACTACCATGCACAAAATTTGGAATTCCTATCTCCATATTTACTCGCCACAGGCCCATACTCGATCGAGACTGATCCGATTCTACTAATACAGAACTAGTCTGAGAAGACTTCCACGATTATCCCGAAGGTTACCAAAATCTGAGTTCGATACGAATCAAATTTCTATTCCATCTTCGAGGGGAAACATACTCCAATGACTTAGGGAACATAAGCACACTGCATAAGGGAATTAATGACGCGTTCCTAGCTTCTCAACTATCGTCTCTTGAATTCCTTGGAGAATTTCCGCTCCCTGAGAGGTTCACCGATTAACGCCTGTCCGGCCAATCTGGAAACCATAATCTGATCAGCAACAAACAAAACCTTCAATGACTGACGCTCAACCTGAGAATTCCCAATTCTCCCCCACTTAGAACACTAATCACCACCCACTGGTGTGAAATCGAAACATAACTTAACCAACAGTCCCCGATGCTTGAATGATCCCACACCCAAATCTTAAAGACCAAAAGATAGATGCTCCAACTAATATGTCAGCAGCAAGCTATTTCCATTGGCGCTTCCATCCGCCAATCGATAACGATCACTACAACCGCTGAATCCTGACAATGTTGAATACCCATCTTGTGGGGCCCTATCCGCAGGCCTCCCACATAATACCCATCTTCCCAAAGTGCTCCAAACAAATCTCTCGCTCTCGGGCTCTAGAAATGATATCATTCAGGGTCTCGCACACTGACTCACTCAGTAGCTCAATCGTACTCATCTGAACTGCAGTAGCTGAAGCAACCCCTGCCCTAAACCGACTACAACAACTCCCAAGACATAGTATCAAATCCCGAAAGTGAAATAGATCGCACAAACCATCCTTATTGTCCGCTGCAAGAGATCCAAGGCGAATCAGATCTTAGCTCCTTCGGGTCAGAACGGAAATCACATACGCCTCATAAGATACTCATGCCACATCGACCCACCTACGCTCACCAGCGCTGAGATACTGTCGTCAACTCCTGCGACTAACTGACCCCGAGCTGGAACACCACCTGATCCTGGGGTCACATGCCTGTTCACTCCTTCGAGCTCGAAAACTGAAAGGGCATAATCCTTGCCCTAGAAAACAACATTCCTATCCATCTATTATCCATTCTACTTCCAGCTACAAAACTCTAACTGATCATAATCATCACTCCCTTTCGGAGTCCCTGCGACTCGAATCCCGGTCTCGAACAAAACCCTCGAAGCCTCAAATCAGGAAACTCATATACCAACTTCTCCCACTCAACCCGCGGAATGCAACGAGTACGGAACATTTCCCTGATCCCAAGTAACCGCAGCTCTCTGCTCATCAGAATACGTCCCAATAACAAGTCCCGGTACCGGAAAGCACGACCAGCTCCTTCCCCTGCCGCCGTTACAGCTGTTGTAGCTGTAGCGACAACCGTCTTGGCAATGGCTGTGTAGCGCTCATCGAAATACTTCAACAATGGTGGTCTTGATAGACCCAAACATCTCCGGCAACTGTCTCTGAACAACCTCGACCACCTCCTCCCGGATGATCTCACTGACACGATCCTTTAACAATACTGGCCTATCCTGGCTGCCAACTCCCGATCCTGACCCGGATCTGGTCTCAAGACATCTCGTAACCATCATTCTGATAATACACTAGAAAGATCTCTAATAACCCATATGCTAACAGGGAACCAACTCCCAACCAACTCTAGGGGTAGTGACGTCCTTGCTACGCGAATGGGTCCTGTGCTTTTAGTAGTACGGGCCCATACTACCTTCCACACCTACCCATATTTGTCTCAAGTATCACCACAACACCCTAACAATGTACATAAACATAGCGAGCGCTCAATCCTCACTCCTAGAGGAATGCTAAATATCTCATAACTGGCCTACTAGCCTTACACAACCCACCCATCCATGAAACTTCCACCAACCCTGCAACACTAGTGTATGCTAGCCATACATAACGCTGGACCCTATAGACTTTTCGAATATATGATCCTACCCTAAACCCCCAATCAAACAAGAATAGAACATAAGGCCTAACCAAACATTCTCAGGCTATAAGATCTTAAATATGTATATAACCATGATGCATACACTAAGCAACTACAGTAATGATGTTAATCTCATATAAGTAAAACCCTAGGCTAGCAGGCATCATGTAATCAGGAAATTTTATCATGCAATTCCTGAAGATCCCTAGCCTAGTACTAGCATGCTATTCTAACACATCACATTATCAAATAACCGTATGGTATTTTGGGGTCTACTTATTGGCTCCGGCTGATCGTACACCCAGCATCCTCCTTTGATATTTTGAAAACCTTTTTGAAAATTGTTTTAGAAACCTTTCTGAAATTCATTTTAAAAACCTTTTCCTTAGTTTGAGACTGGATTCACACAAGTGTTCCTCCAATTCACTCAAACCAAGGCTCTGATACCAACTTGTAACACCCGTAAAATTCAAGCCAATTTAAAACTTTTTAAACAATTCAAAACCCATTAGTTATTAAAAAATGTTTTCAAAATAGTTTAATATCAGAGTATCCCAGAAACCATAAATCCAAAACACGAGGATGTGTACGGTCACGCCTTCGCCTTGCCAAGTCATCTGAATCACCTGAAACAACAAACTGAAACCGTAAGCACGAAGCTTAGTGAGTTACCCCCCAAAATACCGATACACATACAGTCCACATAACCATGTCAGCAATATCATAACATAACAAACTGAACAGCATGCAATGGGTCCACAGATTTACAGACTGGATTACCCCTGGGCCCACAGTGTGAGTCTGGATTGCCTACTGGGCCCACAACTCACATCTGGATTGCCACCGAGCCCACAGTACGAGTTTAGATTGCCTACCGGGCCCACAGCTCGTATCTGGAATGCTCGTAGGGTTTGTTGGCTACCGCACGGAGCAGTACAACCTCAACCCATCCTACATAACATGTCGACATGTAACAGATAAATGCACATACCAATAATCAATAATATCACAGGTAGTCCTACAGGCCTACCAAATAGCATATCCAACTAGCATGCATATCTAACACATACTTATCATAACAACTACTAGGATATCAATTCGATGGGACGGCCTTGGTGCCTTAGACCCCTTAGTATGGTGATGATAACTCACCTGGCACTGCTGAAGTCCCGCAGATAAAACTCCAGCTGCTGGTTGACAGATCCCCGAACTGTCAACATCAAACAATAC